AAAAATACTGGCCGCCTGAAGGGCCTTAGAAAGAAAACACAGAAAGGGAAACGCAAAGGGCAAGAGAGAAAGATAGGTGTAGTTACAAGGCCCACTAGTTACGAAACCTTCTAGTTACTGAATACTTAGCCACATGAATTAAATGCGCTAGTTAGCGAGTGGGGCATTAGTCTTAAACTGCCCGGGTAGATAGGACTAGGACAGGAGAAACAAAAGGAAAGGCACCGACACACAAGTGTGTCGAGTACCATTTCCTTCTGTTACCCTAGACAGCGGGTGGGATAAAAGTGTGAATTCACGTGCAAGGTGGGGGTGGTGTGGCACATATATATTACCGTAACCCGGCGGTTGTCGAATCTCCGTAAACTCGGCAGCGTTGTGGCAGGAAACTCATTGGGCGAAACAAAATTCATCAAACCAGAAACCACGATGGCGGCACTTCGAGTCAGAAAAACGGTAGACCGGAGTTTCTTCAGCGCCTCTCTTGCGAGAGGACCACACTGGGACGACAGAGCGGCGCGCACTTAGACAATGGGTTTGCAGTTAACTCTGTTCCACGAGGAAATGGATGAGGGAAACGTAAGGTGGCTGAGTCCGCGCAGGTGAATGTTTCAACAGTGTTTGCAAATGCACTCAGAAAACTAGTTACTGATTACTATACTTAGCAGACTGAATTAACGCCGTGCGAGGAAACCTGTTTAGGGGGATATCATGCGAAGAACCACCATGGAAACAAACCAACAGCGGCAAGGGAAACCAGTGGAGTCATTGCCTTCGATGCAGGTACACACTGGAGCGTCCTCCACTGCTTCAGCACCAACCGATACCCTCTTCGTTGGACGGGCAGTATCGGTGGTGACCCGTCCCTTTGCATGTAAAAAAACACCTTGGGACGGAGTGTGACACACACACACACACACTCTCACACTCACACTCTGACTGCTTCAATTTCATTAAGCTGCTCTCTGGCACAGCTGCTTGAAGCCTGGCCGCCAGCTCCTCACCTTGAGGCCGATCGTTGCGGTCAGCTACTCAACTGCACACAGCGTTAGAACCAGCACTCTGGGCCAGTGGTAGCACAAAACGCATTCCAAGCAAAACAAGGTCAAGAAGCCAACCTTATGATTATAGCTTGCCAATGGCAGCCTTTTCACAGGTGCTTGTTTTCAAACGATGGACAGTCAAAAATAGATTGCCGCATTTCAAAAATATGTCAAAACATTGACTCCAACACTGGCAGGTGAGCATCACATGTTTCTGTAGGCCGCAGTGGGCAAACCTATGGAACCCATCCGCTGTGTCCATGCCTGACGGCACTGCGTTCCCAAAAAGGACTCGAAGTGTATCAGCAGCTTGTGGACCTCAAACCATGATCATGAAGCCATGTCTTGATTTGTGCTGTATTGAGTGTGAACCGTCAGGTGCAAAAAACAGAAAAACGAGGTTTTAAATCAACCTACACAAGACATGAACGGATCGCAACTCTGCATCAGCCTCACCTCCGCAGGATGACCGTTTGGGAGGCAATTGACGCGTTTGACCCTCTCATAAACAAGCCAGCAAGTTGACAGTGGACTGCCCAACTTCTGGGAGAAATATCGAGAACCTTGGGTCTTCGGTGTACCCTTCGGTGTCCCAATGTTCCTCCCGAAGGGGTGGATTCTCTGCAAAGCCAACTCAACCCAGGCAGCCCGACTCCATGGCCCACCGGGTGATGTACCTTGGCAGGGCGGCAAATCACTACAGTATTTTAGCAGCAGTCACGCCCCCCAATATGAAATGATTACAAGCATTTGGGTATATCACGGTAAATATATTATCCGAGATCAAACAAATGATTAACAAAAAACAAATCTTAGATTTTTTGGCTTGGAAAGGGCCATGCAAGAATAGCCAGTCCGAGTGGAGACCTTGGACCAGTCAACTTGCAGCCAACCATCCATGGCTACACTCAGCCGCGGAAGTCACGGCATGCTAGGAAAAAAATTGTGTTCCCCCATGTAAACGCAACGCGAAGAGGGGGGTCCCGGCATAGTCCTTGCAAAAACGTTGTTCCCGCATGTAAACGCGATGACTTGTGAATGTTTTTGGTGTGTTCTCCCCAACGCAGCTCTCATATATTCAAAACAATGTTCCCGCATGTAAACGCAATCATATAGAAATGTCACTTAGCCATGTTCTGCAAAAACGAAGTTCCCGCATATAAAAGCGATGATTTGGTAATGTTTTTGATGTGTTCTGAAGTTCCATCCGAAGCGCAATTTTCATGTATTCACAACAAGCTTCTGGCGTGGAAACGCAACGATTTAGCAATGATGTTAATCTCCTTGTGGTCCCTTGACATCTCTTTGGACCAGGCTCTGGGCACTTTACTTGAGTCACACAAGTTGCAGAGAGGTATCGGAACGAGGATGAACGAGAGGGTGAACGAGGTCAGAACCCCTGCCACCAAGGAAAGCCCTCAGAATGAAAACCTCTAGTTACCTCATCATGTATATGCTCTCGCCCCTGTCCTTCTTTCTTTCTTTCCTTCCTTCCTTCCTTCTTGTCTCCCCGCTTGTCTGCTGTGATCGGCGTTTTGTCTGCCGCTGCTGCCTTGTCTCCTTACTTGTTTCCCCACCTGCCTCCCCACTCGTTTGCCTGTGCAATCGGCATTTTGCTTGATCGTCGTTTTGTTTGCCGCTGCTGCCTTGTCTTCTCCCCAACTAAACGCAACATCGCCACGACCTCCATAGATTCAAATCCCCAAGTAAACGCTTCAAACATTGAATGTCGCCACGACTTCAACGTTTGAGAGTAGATAGCTGTTGCCAATGGCGATGCCATGCGACGACTACGGGCAGTAAATATACAAAACAGGGCCAATGAGGGACGCAACCTTCACATGTTGTGGAATGACGCGGCTGTGTTATGAACAACTGAGTTGCAAATATTATGTGAACATGAAAAACAAAGATCATTTATATTTCATAAACAGTATATGTACGTATGTATGTATTTTGTTTTTCCTAGAGGCTCTTTTGTTCCGCTTCATCGAATGGCACATTGGCCGGGCTCAGCTGCCGCGCTGCAGGTTGAACTTGTCGGTGTCAAAAGTAGTCCACCGCGACTGGGTCTTCCGTGGGGCTTTCCTCCTCCATCCCTTCATGGGCCTGCGCAAGGGTGTCTGGCATGTCTCGGTCCCTCTCCGTAGTGCCTGGTGAGGTGAGGTCACTGTACCGGAGTTTTTTGGGCGGCGGAGGTGAAATGTGGTCGGTGACCGTCGCCTGTCTGTCGGGCGTGACCGGAGTTGGCTGGGTTTCATGGCCTGCAGTGGCTCGGCTGCCTTTGGCTTGTGCACCATGTGGTGGCCTTCATGGCTGTGTGGGAATGCCTCATCGATGCACCTGCTACTGCCAAAACTGTGGAACTTTTCTTCATTTGCTCTCTTGTGTGCCGAGAGGTTGCACGTGGTACACTTCAGGTATCCGGTGGTCTCTTGGAAGGTGTGCTCATCTGCTGCCTGGGGGTGCTGTCGTTCCAAGAGTTGGGAGATGGTGGTGGCCCTGGTGACCTTTTGGCCCACTGCCCTGTGTTGTGGCGGGTCTGGTTCAGATGCTTCATGGATGAGCAATTCACAGTCTTCCTTGGGTCTTTGCTCGATGGTCTCAACCGTGAGGGCTTGATGAACCCTTGTCTGGCACGTATGACATTGGTAACCGCTGCGGTGCGGTTTTTGTTTGGTGTTTCCCTGTAGTTTCAAGGGAGTCGGCATTGGTTAATGAGCCGCTTTTTGTATTGCTTTGTGGTATGCCCTGCTCGCCTGACCGGCTTCTCGTGTATGTAGTGCTGTGGATCTTTGTAGATCTTCTCAAGTCGGGCTGCAGCTTGTTTGTAAATCCGGAGATGGTCCTGGTCGAGGGTTCTTTGCCAAGCGTCTGCGTGTTTGTCGTAGATGGAGGTTGCTCTCTCATAGGCAGTGAGCGCTGCATCCCTTTGTCGCCTTCTGAGGTGCATCTGGGGTCCTCTGATTTTTGTGGGTGTACAGAGGTGTGATGCGGCAACAGAGCGCTTCGTCAAAGCCCCGGGCCATCTTCAAATCCTTTCCTCTTTCGAGAGTTGGTCCATGCCTCCCAAACAGATCCAACTTGGATGATCACATTGATCGGAGTGAGGACATGTTGGGCCAGGGTGATGAGTCCTTGGAAAAATGCCCTTGCTTTGGTTTGTGGTCCTGGTGCCATGCCAGTGATCGTACCTTTGCGCATCAAAGTTCCCAAGGGGAAGGTATGTATGCAAAGGGCGAAGATCCATGCCTGGGATCGTTTGTCATATGAGGATGGAGTGGCATCCAAGGTGACTGCAAGGCCTTGCCAGGGCTGGAGTGGTAGTGGCTCGAGGCTTTGCCAGCTTTCCCCTTCTTCCACATGCCACCCGACTTGGCTGGTACTAAGGGCTGGTACTGTGTGGTCAGATTGGATGCCCTTCCCTGTGCCCACGGGCGTTGTTGAAGGAGGTATTGCTCAGTGACAGACACCCAATCCGCCAATCCGCGGGCACTCTGGTTCTCTGTGCTGTCGCAAAGAGCGGGGTCTTCAACCTGAGTGACGTAGGTGCTCCATGCTCTGAAACCAATGTCTGGCACGTTGGGCAGCGGTGGGAAGGTTCGTAATTGGTGGTACAGCCGGAAGTCGTCCTCCAACTCGAGGGCATATGTGACCAGGCAGTGCGGTCTCCAGGGCACCGCCCATTCTGTTGTCATGGAGGCGCAGGAAGCCAGCGTTTGGTGCATGATGGCACAGTCAACCGTGTTGCCATTGATCATGGTAGCATCAGGTGCGAGTATCTGCCAGTGGAATTTAGAGCTGAGCACTGTACTTTGGAAATTCTCAAGGTGGTTGTTCCAGTCTCCCACCAAGATGTATTGTCTTGTCGCGGCTTGGAGGCCAAGATCTGGGTGTTGGTGGTGCCTTGAATCGTCTCATTGGTCTTGAAGTAGACCGCCACCACAAGAATGGATCTTGCTTTCGCTTCCCACAGAAAGGCCTGGTACCCACACCCTTCAATGTCGAAGTGTTCGAGCTTTGTAAGTCCATGGGCAGTGTCATGAATGATCAGTATGCCCCCATGAGTTCCTTCAATGTTGCTGTTGGCATGTGCTGGATACCCGAAAGCATGCCGTCCTCGAACTTCAAAGTATTGGCACATCGAGTGATGTTTTTGTTGGTCCAGGTGCGTTTCAACCAGCGCATGGATCTCGTTGTCTCTTGTCCAGTACCAGTCCAAGGTGTTCTTGCCGAAGGCCGTGATGTTGGCGACATTCAGCCGCACGTGTTCTTGGGTGAATCTGGCCCTCTTGGGTGGTGTGCCGTGCAACGGTGGATCGTAGTCTGGACTCTCAGGCGGCGGCAGTGGAGGTCTGGATGCCCCAGACTTGAACAATTTGCCCAGCTATTTGTGGCGTCAGGAAGGGCAGAACCTTGGGTGTGGCTCCATCATCCGCTATCCACATCAGGTCTTTGTACACCATTATGGCGTAGTAGTGTCCGGTTTCGTGTGTGGGGCCTCGATGGCAAATGTATGCCATGGGGATGTACTTGGCGCTGGCTCTGGAGAAGCCGTCTAAGGACCTCGGGACTGTGTACGGTCGGTGTGGATTGAGGGCTCTCTTGTGTTTTGTCACACCAGTACCATCTTGTCATCACTGAGGTACTGCCCTAGCCCCTGGTTGGCCCAGCAGTTCATCAACTCTTGCCAGGTGATCTCATCAAGAAACTCGTCCGGGTAGTCGACAATGAGGGGCAGCTCTATATGCTCTGTGACATAGCCGCCTTCTTTAATCTCCGTGTAGCAGTACTGCATCACTCGGGTTTGGGAGTGAAGTGAATCCACAGCGAGTGCACAAAATGCGCGGCATCACCTTCCATGTTGAGGTTGTGCTTTTGCCATAGGTGGTGTAGCCCTGGTAGTCGTTGGATGTCAATCGGTTCGGAGAGTTCCAAAGATGTTTGTACGGCATCTTTGATCACCCCCCATGGTTCCCCTGTTGAACTCTGCTAGAGTCTCTGCTATAGACAGGCGCACATCCAGCAGAAAGCACGCCATGGAGCGTTGGCATAGCATCTCGAGCTTGGATTCCCCACCACCATACTCAGGTTCTGCCAAATCAGGTCAGTGGTGGAGGCATAGTTGTGTGAACTCATGTTCGTTCGGGTCCTCTCACTCTCTAAAGTGGAGCTGGGTTGTTCCGGCGCTCCTGCAGAGATCGTCAGGCGTTGTCCATGAGAGGAGTCGGTTGCGCTCGTGTGGTCGTGCTCAAAATCCAAAACTGTCATGTGCGTGTGACATGCCAAGTTGTGTTGTTGCTGTTCCCCTGCAACATGGCTTGTCCCCTTGGTGGCTGGTAAAACTGCAAAAGGTGGTGTCAGCTCAGTTGAAACCTGTGTTTGTTCCCCAACACCTGTCTCATCTGAGCAGCACGGCAAACCCATTCTGGTTGTGGTGCTTCCCAATCAAGAGTCATGGCAATTGTCGGTTGTGAAAAGTCCCCTTCACAAGTGACGTTTGTAGTTCCCCCCTTGTAGAGCCAAAGGTAGCATGGCACCCCGTTGGAGCAGGTGCAGCCGGGTTGAGTGGCTCATCAGCAAAACTGGTGTTCATTTCAAACTGATTTCCCTTGTTTGACTCTTCTGTTCCATCACATGACCAATTGTCATGTTCCGGTAACGGAAAAGTCCACCCCTGCAGCATGGCATGGTCGACAGTGTTACCCACATTGTCCTGGTGAGGGTGGAACAGAGCCATCCGTTTTCCTGCGCTTCGTTGGGTCATCTGGGTCCTGATTGGGCCGCTTGAGAAGTCCATGTAATTGGCTCTTCTGCTCTTCTGTGAGCGAGATGCCCAGACTGTGTACAAAGGATTCTACTGCCATGGGAATCTGCTCCGGCTCTGTTGCTGCTTCGTTGAGCTCCGTGGTGGGTGGATTCTGATTGACTGCTTTCATGTAGTCCTCGCAGGGCTTCTGCAGCGTTTTCTGCCCTTCTGCCAGCTTGGTTTGGAGTTCTTGCATCTCCGTCAGGAGATTGGCGTATTGGGCCTTGACTCCATCGATGCGGACTTGGAGCTGGTTCTTCTTAACGGACATGTTCTTGAGCTCTGTCACCTGTCCCTTCAATTTGCCAGCTATCTCACGCTCGGTGATGGGCTCAGGTGCCGTGAGTTTGGACACAATCTCTTGTACCTGAACTGGCAAGGCGTCCATGTGGGTCTTCAGCAAATCCTGCAATGCTGGTTTGGCTGGTCCGATGCCTAGTGCCTGTAGCTTCGTCTGGGTCTCTTCAGACAATGCTGTCCAGCTGGTGGCCAACAACTCAGTTGCTTCTTGCTGAACCTTGGTTTTCTTGAGTGGCCTGATTTTGGTGAGTCCTGGCGGGGATTCAAGCCATGCCGGATTGCTGGTAGCTCGATTGCTTGGCTTGCCATAGCCCTTGCCCTTGCCATTGTGGCTAGGTAGTTCCGGCCACCAGCTTCCGCACTTGCGGCACTTGGTGCCACTGCGGACCTTGTCGGTCCAGATCCAGTTCCCACATGTGCTTTTGGAGCACACCATGTAGGCTCGTCCCCAGTGTGGCGCCATAGTTCCTGAGATAGGGCTGCTTGATGGCCTGGTGATAGGCAATCAGGTGGGCAACCTGGGTTTCTCCGATTTCGATCTGGCCTGTGGGCTCTCCAGGGAAGAAGGACCAAGCACCAGGCAGATCACAAGGTGATAGCCAGGCGAGAACCTGCCAGGTACCGTAGAGGTCTGCAAGAGCGTTCAGGTAGGAGGCGTGGAATTTGCCAGTGCTGATGGGGTCCTCCAGCCTAGGCTCCGATGGCTTTTGTTGCCTGTGCCTGGATTTGAATGGGACCAGGTTGAGACCTCAAACGGCTTGAGCCATGTATGTATGTATGTATGTATTTTTTCCTAAAGAGGCTCTTTTGTCAGGTGAACGATGGCCGTTTTGGCCGCAGCGCCGCCACCAGGGCTAGACTTGTTTCTGGGCTTTCCTGCATCTGGTGGTCTTCGCTTGGTTGAGCATGTTCAGTGCTCTTGGTGTGAGGTCCTGCTGCCTGGCTGGGTATCATGGCCTGTGCAGGTTCGTGTTCCTCCTCACGCTCTGTGAGTGGTGTGGAGAAGTGCAACCGTCTTGGTTGGAACCTGGTTGAGGATCCAGGGGTGGCTGTGTTGGTCTGTGGTTCCTTGCCACTAGTGCCACCGTGTTGAGTTGGTGGCGTGGTTTTGAAGAAGGAATGGATCGGTGGTGATCCTTTGGTGCCGGCTCCTTTGCACTGTTTCAGGAAATTCGAAGTGCTGATGACCCTCTGTTGACTGTCCAGGTGGAGCTGGAGGCCACAGAGGGTGCAACTAATTTTGTTGCCTTTCTGCCAAAGCTGGTGACTGGGATGACCCTTATGTTGGCCCTCAAAAGGGCAGTCAAGACATGGGCTGTGGAGATAGTCGTTGAATGCCTTCTCGTTGATTCTTTTGTGTACACTGGTGCCGCATTTGGTGCACTTCAAGTAGCCTTTGGTCTCTTCAAAGCAGTGTTGGTCAGTGGCCTGATCCTGTCCTGCTTGGGCTTGTAGGATGTTCCGGATGGTCTGGAGTCTGGTGAGTTTCTTGTCAGGCTGAGGGGCTTCTGGTCCTGGGCTGGGACAGGCCCGATCAGCTTGCAGTTGGGTGCATGTCTCTGCAAGTCTGTCCTCCAGGATCTGTGCTGTCAGTCCCCTGGTGCATCCGTGTTCCACAAGCTTTGCAAGCAAAACCACTCCTTTGGGGTGCCCATCGATGAAATGGGTCTTGCCATGGCTTGTTGCATTGTTGGATGAGGTCTTTCTTCCTCTGCTTAGTGTGTTTGCCAGGCTGCCGCTCTGCTTTGTGATGGAGGTAGTGCTGCTTGTCTGCGTAGATCTTCTCCAGCCTTTGGACAGCATGGGTGTAGATGGTCTTGTGATCTCTGTCCAGTGTCTGTTGCCATGCTGTGAGTCTGCGGTCGTGTAGCCCATCCGCACGTTCCCAGGCTGTGAGTGCTGCATCCCTCTGCCTCCCATCAGGTGTTCGATGTATGTATGTATGTATGTATATCTATATATATATATATTTGTTTTTTTCACCGGATATCGTCCTTCCATGCAATGATAATTGCTTACTCGAAGAACATGACGAATAAACAATTTTTATACTGTATGGTCTGCGGGACGTAGCATGCATCTGAGACACATTGTCCTCCTTCATGCCTCAGGTCCCGCCACGACATAGAGTACAATCAAAGCAGTGTGGCCTTCTGATTCTGTGTGCACAAGACTGTCCAGCATACATCATCAGCATACAATGTACGGGGCTTCCTTCTGCGGCCGCTGAGAGGAGACTCCTCACCCACCGCTGACTGCAGAAGAAAAACATTACGCCTCACAAGTGGCCCTTTCATCCTTTACTCTGTTATCTCCCGAGCTTTTTGGTCGACCTGGTTGATCTAGGAAGCCCTGGAGAAAAACTTCACGGCATCACAGTGCAAAAACACGCACACACACTACCGAAGTGGGAGAGGCAAAGGCTTTGTTTGGGTCCCCAGCCACTTCTTTGCTTCCACAGGCTCGGGCCTCGGTGACTTCGACCGGATACCCTGCCCTCGTCCACTAGGAAATCTACCCAAACTGCATTTCGTTTCCCAAGATCTTCACCTCCAGAATGGAGACATCTAGCTTGGGGATAGCTGACTGACTCATATTGTGCTATCCAGAAAGCAACAACAAGAAAAAATCATTCTGGGCTAGCCAGTCGCTCGCCTGCAACCTTGAGGTCAAAGCCATGACATGGCCATTGGTGTATTTACCGGCGTTCTGCAGGACCTGAGAGCAAGAAGCAAATGAGAGCATGGGCGACTGGACTTCGCGAACTGTACGGCGTCGGCCTGGGGAATTGATTCTAGTTGCAAGCTGAAGTCTGGCACACAGGCATAACCGCCGGTATGAAAGAACGCGAAAAGCGAACCAACGTGAAAGCCGCTCGAAGTGCTCACGTGAAAACGAAACACGGTCTTTTCTTCTAGGGCGTTGCCTGTCATGTCGTGACTCAAGGGTCCCCTGCGTAGGAGCAGGATTCGAAAGTAAGCAGCGGCGGAAATGCCAAAAGCTGCATGCACAAGAACTCAAGTTCAAAATGAACATGTCCACTTGGTTTCGTGGCACGAAATCCACACCGGTGGTTGTGGGAAACCTAAGCTCAAAACAAGGCCGGCGGAATGTCGATGCGCCACCTCTCAAGGGCCTTTTGGCCGCAGTAAGCACAGCAATCCCACTGCTTCATTTGCGAGTGGTCTGCTGAAGACAAAGCTTGGCACTCAGGGTTCGTGTGAAAGGACTTTCCGCTCTTGGTGGTGAAGAGCGTCCGGGGCAGCCATTCTCGAGCAAGATCATCTTGGACTGCTGCCAGGCGGTTGTGCACATCGATCCAATTGTTTCTTGCTTTTCTGAACTCACTTTCAACTTCTCGCAGCTCACACTGCATGTAGCGCTTGGTGTCAATCAGCTGCTCGATCTCTTCCTCTTGGGCAGAGCATTGAGCCTGTAGGTCAAATAGTTCAGCTTCTTGATCTCGGACGATATCCTGAAGCCGGAGGTTTTCGGACATCAAGATCTTGAGATCAGTTTCTGGCTCCTTCTCTGTCTGTGTGCCCATTGCCGTAGAGCTCGTGGATGTCATAGTCCACGTGGTTCTGGTAATCGAGGAGCACCAGGAAGTAGAGCTACAGCAGCGAAAGAACTGCCAAAGAAGCATGCTAAGTGCCATCGTGTAGAGGATCATGATCGCTTCCGGGCTCAGCATGAAGGTCAGGGTGTCCTCCATGGTCACAGCTTTCACCCCAATCATTTGTGAGGTGAGGACAGCGAATGCCAGGTGCTTGGAGTTGCCGGTCTTCGTGATGGCATGTCGTCGAGCACTGGCTTGTCTTTCAGCCATCGTTTTCTTCTTGGAGGCCTGGAAGCTCATGTCGGCTTGGAGGGAGATGTGGTGTGACCTCAGACGATCAGCAAAGAGTTGCCGAGCTGAGAACTTGGTGACGCCATCGGCCAGTTGAGCCTCAGATGAGACCCATTTGAGGCGTGATTTCATACTCAACATTTTCTGCTTGGTCACCATCACCTCGATCTTGGTGCGTTTGTCACCTTGCAAGCTCGGTGTCTCGGCTTTGAGGGAGTCGTAGAGAGCCTTGGCGTCCACGACAAGTGCTGAAGCCATCTCTGGGGTGAAGTCGTCCACCTGCCTCAACTGGAAGTCATGGCGTATGCAACCTTCCCAAAAGATCAGGAGGTATTCAAGGGCGTCCATCGCAGCTGAACATGCTTGACTCTCAGCATTGAGTGAAGACCTGCTCACCCGAGGTAGTTTGAAGCTGCGCCAATCCAAGATCGTGTAGTCTTGGGTCGAGCCGTCCTCCAAGATCTGCTGGTTGCAGAGGAACACCACATAGCCTCCTTGAGACTCACTGTTGCGGCGGACTCCCCATGCAGCATCGCTCATTGCAACCATACATAGTTTCTCCATGTCACCACCGAGATCTCTGAAGGTCAAGGCCGCATCGCTGTTGGACTTTGCGAAGCGAAGGACCTTATTGGCCTGAGCTGCTGTGTCACCAGTGGCGGAAGTGACCTCGCCACATAACAGGGAGACTGAAGCGCTCAAGTGAGGTGAAGTCTGAGTTGCTGGCCACTGCAATGCGCCCAACAGGGCACGAAGACAGCTTTGCTCTTTGGTGCTGAGGTTGCGGTTGGCATCGTAGTCGGTGCAGGTCATGGGCTTGACGTTCTTAAGGTATTCTGCTTGATGTAGTTTGGACTCTGTTGCATTCCGACTCAAGTGGCAGCCGCAAAACTCCAGAGGTTTCTCAGCACTCTCTTCGGTCCAGTGCTTGAAGTTGAATGCCTCTTTGAGCTGGTTCTTGAGGTGTTCATATTCTGGTGCACCATCTTTTCCACAGCCAAGTAGGTCATCGACATGTAGTCCGACCATTGAGATCAAGGCCTTGTTGGTGTCGTAGTAGGTGTACAGGCATTGATCAAGTGGATGGGCACGGAATCCGAGGCCTTCCAACCTTCTTCTTGCCACCATGAACCATTGTCGAGGAGCATCGGCCTGGCCATAGATCGGCTTGATCAACTTCATGAGTGTTCCAGGGGCGACTCCGATGAGGTTGCAAGCGTCTCTGGGGATCTTGGCCCATAGGACACGTTCTTGAGGATCTCCCTGGAGGAATGCCGTAGAGACGTCTGCGGTCCATCGTTGCCAGTGGTTGACCTGGCTGATTGCTAGCAGGACTTGCCTTGAGGTTCTCGACAATGTGGGTGATGAAGTGTCCAAAGCTCCTTGCAGGAGATCAGGGTCAGAGAAACCCTGCAAGACTAGGCGTGCTTTCGCCTTCAAGCCTCCTTTGCCATCTGCTGCCCATTTGAGGACGAAGCGGGCTTTCATGACTCTGCTGTGGTCGACGGTCTCCGGGTTCATCTCAATCTCCCAAACACCATTTTCAAAAATACTTGACAGTTCGGCCTTTTTGCCCTCCAGGAATGACAGTCTGTCTTCCAAGCTCATGCGCCTCTCGTTGAGGTCGGTGCTTTCTTTGACATTCTTCTTCTTGGGGGCAACTGCACCGGCACCAACAGCTTGCCAGATGTGACCTCGGCCACGCAGGGTTTTGCAACGATTCAACTTGTTGGTGAGGTCGCCGATGTAGTGAAGTCCATACTGTTCAGCTCCTGTGGAGGTGAGTGGGTAGAGAGTCTTTCCGGTCCAAGTTTCATTGAAGTGCTGCTCTCCGGAGGAGTTGACATAGATCGTTCGTGAACCTTGTTGCATTGACAAACCGGTGGTTGTTTGCAAGAGGTCTTTGTCGATGGGAAACTCTTCCGGATGATATGTGGTTGTGCGACCCCATACATGATTCCGGACCAGGAAACCATCTTCGAAGCTCCACCAGTCCTGAGTGGCTCCCAAGACACATTCGTTGTTCTTCACATCGTAGTGCCATCCTGAAGGGAGAGCGTTGGACTTGGTGAGGTCAAAGGAGTGCAAATCCACTTCGACTTCGATTTCATCAGTACGGGCCTTCTTTCTTGCCCAGATAGTTTCTTGTTGATCGAAGCGTCGACGGCGTCGACGGCGGTCCTGGAAGGATTCCGGAGTCTCAGGTGGATGATAGGAATCATCAACCACAGGAGGAGCACTGCTGCTTGCCTGTTGTGGAGGTAATTCATGTTGTCCTGCACGTGGCTCATTGGGATCTGGAAGATCAAGATCATTGTCTTCTGGTACTGGTGGTAGACTAGCAGGATCTGGAGGAGCCATCGGAGTACTCATGTGAGGAGGTTCATCCATCGGCTGTTCTTCATCTTCGGAGGCCAGCTCTGGATGATCATGTAGATCAGGAAGTTCGAGCTGTGGTTCATCATGGCCTTCTTGTTGTGAAGGATGAACTTCTGGTGTAGGTACTTCGATCCTCACACGGGACGTAGGTGGCTCCAGGCTGTTTCCAGATTCAAGACCATCGGAGCTGCAGGCGAAGACATAGTCAGTGGTGAAGCCTCAGTGTCTGTTGGAGTGTAATCGAGGTCACTGATCTCTGGGTCCACCTCGTCGATCGATCTCTTATTGGACTTGCGAAGATCGATGATGCGCACTGCACGGCGCTGCCGAAGGTCATGAAGTGCTTGCTTCACCCGATCTGAGCCATTCACCATACCAGAGTCGTTGACCAGCTTTCTCACATGCTGAGATCCAGCGCGAAGGAGCACGGTGCCGTGAGCAAGCCAGTAGCATGCAATCGTTCCAGTGTCTGGGTTGCGCTCGATGGCCAAAACAATTGCAGGACCTTTCCATCGGATGGTGTGGGCTTTGTCGGCTGCATCGCGCCAGTACAAACAGCGCTCACCAGGATGAAGATCTTCGTCTCGTCCACCATAGCGTCGCAACAATGCTCTGCGAAGCTTGACGTCAATTTCTGCCTTTCCACATGCCTGTTGGGCTGAGAACTTCATGGCCAGTCGTCGATGAAGACGTTCTTGCTCGGATACCTGCAGTTGCAAGGGTCCAGTTCGTTCGTCGGAGATGAGGCCAGGTAGTGAAGGTTCTCTGCCAAGTGCCAACTGGGAGAGGGTGAAGCCATTCACAAACGTGTTGCTGTTGACTGCGGAGACCACCCATGCCAAAGCCTGATGTACTCCATCGAGTCCCTTCAATTCATTTTCCAGCATGAAGATGGAGACGGCTTTTCTAACCAGTTGGTGACGTCGCTCAACAATGCTTGTGCGAGTGTGAGCCTGTCCAGGTGAGATGCGCAATTCAATGTCACGCTGTTCGCACCATGATGATGTTGCATCCGAAGCCCAGCCAGTGCCTTCATCAGTATACAGCTGCTTCGGAGGTCCATGGAACTGAATCCACGCTCGCTCAAGAGCCTTCTGCAAGGTCGGGCCCTTCTCGTCAGGAATGGTGCGAGCTGCCATGTAGCGAGTTGCGACATCAACCATCACCAGCGCCGCGATCTTCTTGGCCTTTTGTTTTCGATGGCCAGGTTCAAGAAGCATGCCAATCTCGTCCATCTCAAGCCAAAGAACGTCGGCTTGGAGTTGGGCATTGAACTCAACAGGGCGGTCAAGATGACCTGGTGCATTGCCCTTCTTGACGGAATGGACTTCACAGTAAGGACAATGAAGATCCTGAACGGCTGCTTGAACCGATTCACTGCATCCACGGTCCTTGAGCATTTTGGCCAAGATTTCCTTTCGTGGATGTCCCAAGTTGCGGTGGAGGCGATACGCCGTGCGAACTGCTTCATGACCATGCACTGAGCCAAGCTTCCGCAAGATGCCAGTCAGGGCCTTCTCCTCTTCATGGACGGCATAGACCTGTTCGTGTAGGCCTTCAACAATGAGAAGCCCTCGAACCAAAGCTGAGGCCAGCTCGTCCTGGTAGTTCTCGGCTTTGCGGCATCGATTTCTTCCTTCAAGTCGCTGATGAAGGCGCTGACCGTCACATCGCTTGGACATCAGCTGGTACATTGCCCACTTTGTGGTTTGCAATCTTGTAGTTTTCTTGATGGGCATGAGAGTGCCATCATTAGCTTCACTCACCGCACCATAGGCACACTGGTCGAAGATGGCCTGATGTCCTGGTAGTTGGCGAAGATGTTTGGTCTCCCAGGCCAAGCTCAAATATGGATGCTCCAGATGGGCATGGTCGCCACGGCGTACCTGCTTGTAGTAGAGCTTCTTGCACATTGCCAGGTGGGTTTCATGATCGACTTCACGTCGTTCCTGAAGATCCTGGGCTTGGGCCTCATTGTGGACATTGATTTGCTGCATTCTGGACCACAAGGTGCACTTGGGAGACATGTAGATCTCATCGGGCTCCAACTCATCGCACAACCTGAGCAATTGTTTTCTGTGGGCTGCACGATTGAAGTTCCAGCCGTCCTGCAAGCCGAAGCGCATCACTTCGACATCACCATGTTGTTCCAAGAGTTGTGTGATGCGACCTTCTCCGGCGTACACCTCCCAGATGAGGCGTTTTCGGTGAGTGATTCCATGTTCACGGGCGTGGTGAACTTGTTGCTGAAGCCATTTGTCGTGGTCTGCCAACTGAGCCTCGAACATGGTGTAGATCTTTTCCAGCTTTTCAGCGGTCTTGGTGACAGCTTCAGGAGGGAT